GCGGCTGACATTCTCACCAAGCGCCTGGCAGAACCTGAGCATTGGAAGGGCATGAAGCTTGCGGGAATGAGTGTGCATTGAGGGTGCATGCTTGAGTTATGGCATGTGGGATGATGGTTGGCAGCCAGAGGGGGAGTTTGTTGTCTAATGCAACCATATGCATTCACGTCTGTCTGCCTCCCATCATGTGTTTGTGCGTTGCATGCGTGGTGTGAGCGTGTGCAAGAAATTTGTGTCTTGTGTGGTTTGAATTTTCTGTGTGTGTGTGAATGTTATTTGGCTTGAGCAGATATCTGAAGTGATTCCTCTGCTCAAGAGCTTTCCGACGAACCAAGAATCGTCGCGATCGGAGCACAACCAAGAAAGTTACGAACATTGGAGTTCGTATGCTTATATATTTTGGTTGTGGTGACTATGGGAAGTTGTGGGGTTGAATCATTATGGGGTATAGACTTTTGGGGTTGGGAAATTCGAACCCATCACTGTAGATGCTGCCAAGAGGTTGGGTGAAGCCAAACCAGGTTGGCAAGTGTGGCCAAGTTGGGGTGAGGTGGATGGCATGGGTTGGAAAGTGACAAAGGTCAAAGTTTGTTGCCTATGGGGAAGGGAATTGTGTGGTATGGGGTTTCCTTGGTTGGGGACTCCCTTGGGACCTTCTCTCTCATCCTCCTCTTCCCCTCCTACCTGGTTTAATGCTACTCCAATGTTCTTTTGTGGGACTTGTGAGTTAATTGTGATTGAGTTAAATTTCTGTGGCAGCATACCCCCTAGTGCGCCAAAATGCATAACTCGAGATATACTTCATATTTTGTTACGATTCAAATTGGGAAATGTAGCCACGGTATAGGGCTACAACATACTCGAAATTCGTGGGATTCTAACGGTGCACCTTTCGTCGACAACGTTTCTTGTGAAGTCGACGTTTCTGTCCAGAATTCTAAGCCAACGATTTTGTGATAATTTCGGCTCCTAAGCTTCTAGACTCCGTCCTTAGTCTCTAACACCTGCACTACTCGTGAACCCCTGCAGGAAGTGACGTTCGAGCTCAAGCAGGAGTAGCTTCTCCCTCAAGCTCGGCACGCTCAGCAGAGCTGAGCAGCCATGGCGGATTCGACGCCCACAGGTGACGGCCCTAAATCCGTCGCAGCCACGAAGCCACCCGCCCTTACTGGCCTAGACTTCTTACGACGAGCTTCAGCTGCTCCCGCGTTAGTCCCGCCATCAGCTCGTACCGTTGTTTTCCCTTCCTCGGGCCCCGAGGCACCTACCATCTGGATGCAGGGCGAGTGTTCGACGCATGTCGGCGCTGCCGCATCACCTCCTGTCGCTGCCGCGTCAACTCCTATCGCTGCAGCATCAACTCCTGCCGCTGCCGCATCAACTCCTGACGCTGTCGGATCAACTCCTGCCGCTCCCGAACCCACACGGAACCGTCATCCTGTCGCTGCCGGAACTACTCGCGTCGGCCCCCGTCTCAAAAGGGCTATCGAATTGAGGTACCTCCAGACAAAGATCCAGTGGGGTGCCAGTCAAGCTACGCCAACGTCTGGTGTGGGGAACTCCTCCCCGCAGGCCCGACAGCGTAAAGGGAAGGGGAAAGTGGTTGAGGTTACTTCCGATCCAGAACTGCCCGACATAGCCGAGGAGAAATACCAGGAAGCCTTATCTATGTACAACAAGCAGTGGTCTGACGACTACCCGTGGCTTGTTCTGTGTCAGACGCGTGCAGGGTTCCCGTCAATGAAGTGCTCGGTCTGCATTGCGCACGCCGGTGTGGGCACGAACTTCGGCGCCAAAGGAGAAGGGGCGACCGATGTGCAGACCCAGGCAATGCGGAAGCATCAGCGCACACGGAAGCACCGCTGCGCTCTGCGCAGACAGAGGACAGCTGAGGCGGCGCTCAAAGCTAACCGCCGGATTGACGACAACCCGAAGGTGAAAGACGTAGAGAAGGAGCGCCTGATCGCGCGCTTTGAGACGGCACTCTTCATCGCTATGTCCGACGACCCGATCGAGATGTACGTGGACCTCGTCCGACATCTGGCGCAGCGTGGCACACCGGGCTTCCCAAAGAGCAGTTATGGTGCTTACTACACGACGTAAGTGACACTGGTCTAGTACATATCGGTGCAGATTGTGATCTACGTGAAGCAATCACTAACCACATACGTTGATGCCCGTGCAGGTACGGATTCGAAGAGATTACCGCTGCAATAGCGACATACCTTCGTGCGCGCCAGAGAGACTACATTGACTCGAGTCCATTCATTGGTCTGAGTTGCGACGAGAGTACGGACCGCGTCAAAGGGAAGCACATGATTGTGTTTGTAGCATTTCTGCGTGAGCACGCCGTCGTCACAGAGTTTCTGACTAACCTCTCCATTGAGAAGTGTGATGCAGCATCCCTTCATGCTAAGCTCACATGATACCTTGACAGTATCAGTCTGCCGCTGGAGAAGGTGGCGGGTATCAGCACCGATGGGGCTCCTGTGATGATAGGCAACGAAACTGGCCCCGTTGGGCGTCTTCGACTGGAGATACCGCACAAAGGTAAAATGATGATGTGTTGGTGTCGTTGCTGTTTGATATGTGGAACGTGGTATGTTGCTGTGCGAGTTCTAACCCCTCGTCTGTGCTATTGTCCCCGTGGCAGGGAAGCGCTAGCTGCAAAAGAGGCGGCTAAGGCACTACCAGAGCTTGGCATAATCGACGCGGTTATTCGCTCAGTGGCAGAAGACCTCGACAGATCCAGCAACTCCCATCTCAAGTTCAAGGAGCTGCAGGAAGTGTTCACTTATACCAACCTCGAGGTCCAGGGGATCCATTCCGTCCGCTGGTTGAGTCGCGACGATGCAATCGCACGATTCGTCCGCGTTCTGCCTGCTGTCATTGTTATGCTCGAGGAGACTGACGCGACAATGTACCTCCTCGTGACATCGTTCAAGTTTCATTACTTCCTGTTCTTCTTGGCAGATGTGCACACGGCACTCAACGCGCTCAACCTGCTATTCCAGAAGCGTCATGTGAGTTGTTGAGCTACGTTTTGCGGTTCTCTTCTTCTCCCAGTTACTTATATTTTGTTTCCATGAACCCTTTCTCCCCCTACCAACAGGTTGACCTCACTGCAGTGCACTCCCAGGTGAGGCGGACCATCATCTACATCGAGCAGAGGTACTTGAACTGTGGCCAGCAGTTTGGCGGTGGGACCAGCGAGCTGCTGTCTGCATTCCTCGCGCCGCACGCCTCGCCCGACTGCCGTGAAGTGACTGTGGAGGGGGTGGACAAGGAGGGTCGGCCCCGGGTACACACGTTTCAGCTGCACGAGGAAGCAGGGAAGGGATACACCACCAGCAGCGGGGACATGCAAGGATGTTACACCTGCTGCCGCTCATTCGCCTGCGAGCTGGTGTATAACCTCGAGCTGCGCTTGGGGGACCTGACGCGCTTGAACAGGGCGAAGCTCTTCATGCCCCGCTCGTGGCCGAGGTGCGTCGAGGCAAGAGATGCAGAGTGCAAGGAGCACCGGCACGGCCTCGTCCATCTGTTTCAGGCCAAGAACCGGGACACGATTTTGCCTGGTGAGCTAGTCCTAGAACCCCACTGACCTGCATGTGTGCATGCCCGTTTCCGTGGTTGCGTTATTCCCATGTTGTGTGCTTGACTTTATACCCGGTTGTGCTCTCCCGTTTGGCAGGTGTCCAGAAGCGTGCAGCACGAGCGGAGCTGCGCACGTTTCTGCCGGTGCTCTCCACTGCCCCCAAGGAAGAGCAGCCGTTTCACGCAGGTTTGAAGGCCATCTTGCAGACCAGCGACTGGCAGACCAGCTACCCCAACTTAGTCCGTCTGTGGGCTGCGGTCGCTGTTCTGCCACTCAGCACAGTCGAGTGCGAACGCGGGTTTTCCCGCCAGAATGTCATCAAGTCGTGGCGCCGGACGAGCCTCTGCAACGGCAAGCTGGGAGATCTGTTGGCAATGAGCCTGCTCGACTATGACATGGAGTGGGAGAAGGTGGTGGACATCTGAAGGAGCAGCAGGAAAAGGCGCCCCAGCAAGCGCAAGGAGCAACCTGCGCCAGAGAAGGAGCGGGCCAAGGCCAAGTTTGTTAAGGGGAGTGGCCGCCGGGTGCTTCAAGTGGAGGAGGAGGAGGAGGAGCTAGACGACGAGGGCATGCATGGTTCTGCAGGCGATGACAGTGAGAGTGATGACACCGGTAGCAGTGGTGATGATGCGAGCGTTTCTGATGATGACATGACATGAGCTAGTTAGTAGTAGAGTAGATCCAGCCAGATCTAGTGGTAGTAGTAGTGCTGCTGTCTGTCACAATGATAACTTGACTAAACATGGATGCATGCATTGTTGCATCAGCTCTGCTATTATGGGTTTTTTACACTGCATGTTCAGTTTAGTAAGAATTTTTACACTGACAGGATCAGTATAAAGAAAACCACGAACTCTGATTTGGACACCTGGTTTGCAGGGGCACGCTGATCCATCAGCATACCCTCGAACCAATCTGAGGGCCTGATCCCCCCCCAAACGAAAAAAGGTGGAAAGACGGTACCAGTACCGTAAATTTAATCATGAACCTCACTGGTGACCATGTACTACATGAAACATAAAACGGAGAGAATAAAAACACACAAGACAAGAACGAACACACAATAACCAACAACAAAAAGGACCATGATACAACAACGATCTAGAGGCAAACGCTACCACAATCCATCCAAGCAAATGACGTCTCTGGCACGGCATCCACTAAGGGTGACTGAAAAGGAACAGCTGCAGAGACCATGGCTCCAACTGGGACTCCATTGGCCTTGGACACACTTGCCAGCGGAGAGGTGCTTGCTCACTCAGACACACAAAGCTGCAACCAAGGAGGGACCAAATAGGAAGCATTGGAGATATTAATTTCTAGAACACATGTGGACAGTGCAGTGCAGTGCAGTAAAACATTTACCCTAACATAGAGAAGCTATGAATGTGCCCAAACTTACACTATCAGTGTCGCCCAGGGAATCGCGAAAGGAGATCCAGGGATTGAGCCTGCAGAGGTCCACCATGGTGGCTCCATTAAATGCCGCCACCTGCTGGAAGTCCTCCACTTTGCCGATCTCAATCACATTCCCACAGCTCGGTCTGGCCTTGGCTGGGTCGCGCTCCACACACAGAGAGCGGAACGCGAGGAGGCGAGAGCGGCAGCTAACACCGGGGTTGAGCTGCTGCAGGCTTTCCTCGGTGATGTTGAGAAACTGAGCCACGGAAGAGCATGTGTCGGCCTGTGGAAGACGAAGGAAAGGCAAAAGATGGGAGGGAAATTGAGAAGGAACGAGGTGGTCAAAGGGGGTGAAAGAGGATGCGGCAACACAGAGGTATTGGAACGCTCGGAACGCAAAGGTGCAAAAAGGAATGAGTAGCACACGGTCTTCCTGCTGCTTGGGCGAAAGATGGTCAGGGGAAGAGTGAAGAGGAAGCACAGCACATGTCAGCACGTGGTGGCACTGGTAGCAACCCCGCTATATATACATGTGATGCATGGGATGCTCCCATAGCAGTAGCACCATGTGAGACTCACCGGCTGGGTGTAGTAGAAGGCAGAGCAAGGTGGTAGAAGCTCTTGCACAGTGAGATCGCGACCCTGAGGAAGGAGAGCGGAGCAGTCGATATCCTGGAGGGGAGAAAAGGCGAGAGAGCAAGAGGGTGAGAGAGGGAGAGGATGAGGGAGATGGACAGAGGGGAGCAGAGGGAGAGAGAGAGGTGAGGTGGAAAGAGAGCGAGAGAGTGAGAGAGGAAGAGGGTGAGTGGGAGGTGAGGTAGAAAGAGAGGGAGGGTGAGAGAGCAAGAGAGGGTGAGAGAGGGTGGACGGGGGATATGGCACAGAAACAAGAACGGCTTGACATGTTCATTGAAGGTACAAAGGCTTGCATAAATTTAGATGGCTCGGCGTAGCATGTGGCATGGTTTGGCTCACTGGGTTCATGGTGGTGAACTGCTGCAGCGTGAGGCCATACACGGTGTACACGTCCTTGCACCTCCAGTCGCTGCCTGCCACTGTGATGGACGAAGCGGCCTGCCAATCCTGACCTGCACACGCTCCACGGGAAGGGTGATAATGCCATGTACGCGGTCAGCCACGGATGATGCGAGTTCGCCATAGACCGTCGCAGCAACACATTTGATCCATGAAACACACAGATTAGAGCTATTATGTGTCAAGTGCTCGCACTATCTACCAATGTGTGAAGCGTTGCCAGCAGAGAGCGACTTTACCACAGTTGTAGCCATGAGAGCTCACCACAGTTGTAGCCATGAGAGCTCACCACAGTTGTAGCCATGAGAGCTCACCACAGTTGTAGCCATGAGAGCTCACCACAGTTGTAGCCATGAGGGCTCACCACAGTTGCAGCCATGAGAGCTCACCACAGTTGTAGCCATGAGAGCTCACCACAGTTGTAGCCATGAGAGCTCACCGCAGTAGCTGTCACGATAGGGGTGGTTGGGCAGGCAGATGCAGGTCCTGCCGTTCCCGTTGTCGATGCACGAGCCCCCCATACACGGGTTGACTCTGTCGTCGCCACACCCGCCTGCTGGCGGGGGACACACACAAGGAGCAGAGGATGGCAAGCACAGGAGTGGCAAGAAGGACACGATTGGGGGATTCGTCGGGCAGGAAAGGGCAGAGAAGACGAGGAGCATCGCTGCTGCCAGTACTGAATTGCTTCTGATCAGGCAATAGTGCTTCCCAGGGGCACAATTGATGCCCGCCCCAGCGTAGCCCCTTGCGTGGGAACCAGATCGGTCTTTGCGAAAATGGGTAGTGGCAGGGCGAACAGAAGCATTGGGGCTTACCGCTTGAACTCTCTTCGTCAGGGTACTCAGAGGGAGCTGTGGTGTCGCTGGGAGTATCTGTGGTGGGAGTATCTGTGGTGGGAGTAGCTGGGGTGGGAGTAGCTGTGGTGGGAGTAGCTGGGGTGGGAGTAGCTGGGTTGTCGCTGGAAGGTGGGTTGTCACTAGAATCAGCTGGGGTGTCACTAGAATCAGCTGGGGTGTCACTAGAATCAGCTGAAGTGTCACTAGAATCAGCTGGGTTGTCACTAGAATCAGCTGGGGTGTCGCTAGAATCAGCTGGGGTGTCACTAGAATCAGCTGGGGTGTCACTAGAATCAGCTGGGGTGTCGCTGGGAGGTGTGGGAGGAGCTGTGGCGTATTGGGCATCCACGCAAATCTGCCAAGGACGATGCACCAGTTGAAATAAAACACACGGGAATCATAAGAAACCACTAGCATGTAGATGAGGGCATGCCTCGATCCTAGTTTAGAACAGATCTGGCAAATGGGAATCTACAGATAAAATATGTACCCACCAGTAATGCACAACCAGCAACTACTCGCTTGCCTTAGACTTACACCATCAACATCGCGCACGGCGGAATCGCGGAAAGAGATCCAGGGGTTGAGCCTGCAGAGGTCCACCATGGTGGCTCCATTGGATGCCGCCACCTGCTGGAAGTCCACCACTTTGCCGATCTGTATCACTTTCTTGCAGCTCGGCCAGGTCTTCTCTGTGTCGCGCTCCACACAGAGAGAGCGGAATGCAGGGAGGCTTGAAGGGCAGCTGACATCGGGGTTGAGCTGCTCGAGGCTTTCCTCGGTGATGTCGAGAAACTGAGCCACGGACGCGCATGTGTCGTCCTGCAGGAGGGAAATGGTGGGGGGGGGGGGGGGGGGGGGTTGAAGAGGTGGTCAAAGGGGGTGAAGGAAGATGCAGCCACACAGACGAAGTGGAAAGCTGGAAACGTTGAGGTGGTCAAAGAGGGTGAAAGTCGATGCTGGCAAAATTTGGGGGCAAAAAAGAACTGAATGGCACGTGGACTTTCTGCTGCTTGAGTGCGAAGGATGGTCCGGAAGAGAGTGAAGGGTGAAGAGGAAGCACAGCACATGTCAGCACGTGGTGGCACTGGTAGCAACCCCGCCATCCATACATGTGATGCATGGGATGCTCCCATAGCAGTAGCACCATGTGAGACTCACCGGCTGGGTGTAGTAGAAGGCAGAGCAAGGTGGTAGAAGCTCTTGCACAGTGAGATCGCGACCCTGAGGAAGGAGAGCGGAGCAGTCGACACCCTGGAGGGAGAAAAAGCGAGAGAGGGAGGGGTGGAAAGAGAGCGAGAGAGTGAGAGAGGAAGAGGGTGAGCGAGAGGTGGGGCGGAGAAAAGAGAGGGAGAGGGCGAGACGCGGAGGGGGTACAGAAACAATAACGGGATGCTAAGAAAATGCACACAGGCTTGCGGGAATTGATGGCTCGGCGCAGCATGTGGCATGGTTTGGCTCACCGGGTTCATGTGGGTGAACTGCTGCAGCGTGAGGCCATACACGGTGTACACGTCCTTGCACCTCCAGTCGCTGCCTGCCACTGTGATGGTCGAAATGTCCTCCCAATGCTGGTCTGCCATTGTCCAAGAAAACACCACCTTGAGTTTCAATCTGTACATATGCTTGCACTATAGACCATTGTATGGAGCGTTGCGAGCAAAGGGAGAGCTTACCACAGTAGCGGCCAAGCGAGCGGTGGTTGGGCAGACAGACGCAGGACTTGCCCTGGGTGCCGCGGTCAATGCACGTGCCCCCCATACACGGGTTGACTCTGTCTCTGCTACACGCGCCCGCTGGCGGGGGACACACACAAGGAAGGAGCAGGAGACGGCAAGCACAGGAGTCCCAAGGAGGATACGATTGAAAGGAAAGGGCAGAGAAGACGAGGAGCATCGCTGCTGCAAGTACTGAAATGCTTTGATCAGGCAATAGTGCTTCCGAGGGGCACAAGCGATGCCCCAACATAGCGCCCACAATATTTCCCATGTTTTGGTGAGTATAGATAGTGGCAAGGCGAACAACAGCATTGGGGCTTACTGCTTGAACTCTCTTCGTCGGGGTACTCAGAAGGAGCTGGGGTCTGGGTGGCACCAATAATGCAGCGGGCGGACCTGACTGCGCCGAGGGGCCTGGATCTGCACGGGGAGGCGCAATGAGAGCAACGTCGTTGGTCAGGTGGGGGGTAAAGGAATGGCGTTTCGAAGCTTAGAAGCATATAGATGGAGAACGAAGGTCTCACCTCTGCTGGCCTTGCGCGAGAGTGTCCAGCACCCTCCCCTTGCACGTGGGACTTGGGAAGAACTGAATCGCTGTGCAATCCGCCTTGCCTTCCTGCTGCCACCACACCAGCAGGTTCCTCGTCCCGCCGGGTGGAATGGCGACGCAGCGGCTCGGGTTGAAGGTGAAAGAGGGGCCAATCGTCATCCGGGTGCCAACCTCTTGGTCATCCCCGCTCGTCGACGGCTGCAGCCTGCGACGGCTGAAAGAGAGGCCGCTGATCGTCATCTGCGTGCCAACCAGCACCATCTGGGCCTCCCCGCTCGTCGCCTCTGCGACTGCTGCATGCGACGGCTGCAGGCGACTCGCTGCGAGAATGGGGGCACAGGGGACATGTCAATGCGCGGTCAGTGCGAGTGCGACTGCTCTCATTCCTGTGTGAGGTGCATTGAACGTAACAGAAGGATAGAAAGTGAGCATGGGTACATGACTCATGAGCGCATGAGCGCATGAGCGAGTGACCATCATGTGGCGCGTGATGATGCGGCGTACCAGCGATGACGGCCATGAAGGCGAGCAGCGCAAGAAAGGCGGTCTTGCCCTTCCCCATGCTGCTGCTTACAGCGGACGCCTTCGCCATTGAACGGCCGCACGATTTGGAGCAGACACTGGTGGCTCGATAGCTGGGAGAGACGCACGACGACGATTAACGACTGCCGGACGATACGAGTGAATGGAGCGGCAAAACAGGTACACGGGGGGCTCTGGAGAAAGGTGAAAGATTGCAGACACAGCAGGACGTGGTACTAACTGACAGCAGGTGAGGTGATGAGGACGACGTCCGCGGATCTTATAGTAGGCGTCGCAACGACAGCGGTTTCAGTGTGACTCCCTGAATGGGAGAGACGGGAGATGCGCACCGTCCCCGTCACGGGCGCGACGCCTTGCGCTGTGATCATCGCTGAGAAAGTCGAGCAGGGAACGCGTTCCTTGGCGTGGCGAAATCACCGTGGGGTGCGGGCGGACGGTGGTGTGGTAGATGCTAGGAAAAGCTATTGGGAGGGGATCAATCGCGTCACGTCGGGGTGAATCGATTTCGCTTCGCGCAATACCTCAGGTTGATACCGATGCGCAGCGGTCCAAAGCGGTAAATATGAAAACCAGTGTGAAACGCGGTCAAGAACATCGGGATACACACGACTCGCATTATTGAAAGGGAATCTGCTGAAAATATTTTCTATTCACGTGCAAAAAGAAAGTTATGATAAGTAATAATTTGGCACAACTCAATGACACATTTTTCTAGTGGGATAACATTGTTCTCTATACATTCACGTTTCAGATGGGTTAAGCCGCAATTCTTGATGCCATACGCTGCTGGCGACGACAGCAATGGTAGAAACAACAACGCTGCTGGCGGTGATAGCTGTGCGTGGCAGTAACAATGCTCATGGCGATGACAGCCATGGCAGCAACGACAATGCTGGTAGTGGCAGCAACGGTAGCAACAACGCTGCAGGTGATTTTTACCAAACCTGTGTATGTAAAATCAACTATGATGTTAAACTCACATTTGCGCGGGCGGCGCGGGGTGATTATGGTACTGAGAAACGAAGTTTTTTGAATGAATAGGAAAGGTCCTCTGGTTGAATTCAGGGCACACTGATCAATCAGTGCTTTGTTGGGCTGAGAAAAAGCCCTTAGGATCTTTTCAAGGCTAAACTCTGAGTAGAAGTGTTGTATTTGCAGAAGCGTTTAGTAACAAGTGTTAGACCACCTTGCGCTAGTGTGTGAGGGCAAGATAGATTGATTATAGAAAGGTAATACAACATTTTTATAAGATTACAAGGAATATGAAAGGGTGCAACTAATAACTGTTTTACTGTTGCTGTTGCGGTTCGATACAGTGACGACTCGGGCAACTGCTCATTATCGAGTTAAATGTTTGTCCTTGCTGTCGCGCTGTATTTGTCAAGTCAAAGGTCGCTTACCTTTGACATTCGCGTAACCTCCAGCTGTTACTTCTTTTGTCAACCTCCGATGGTTGACTCGCCGTTGTTCTTAGAACTAGGCAGGAATAGGTTGACTATCGAGAGATTTTGGTACAAGGAAGAAACCTAAGGGGTTGTACCCCACCGTATCTATCCCACTACAGCCTACCCAAAACTATAATATATGTATATGTTTGACACACCCCCATAGGCAAAATGGGGGAGAGCAAGAGGTCACAAGACCAGTCAAGGAAAGCAAAACAAGCTCAGGGTGGATCACAACGTCACCACACACACTGAGCACAAACAAACGGCCACAAGGCCAGTTCACATGCAGAGGTATATATGCAACAAGAACATTACAGTGATCTCTACCTAGCAAGAACAAGCATGCATGTATATATATATATGTATCACAGTACAAGCAGAGACTACAGCAAGTGTGGAAACGTAGGCACAAGGCCCAACAAAGTACAAAAGCGCTGATGGTCACCAGACGGAAGTGCCTTGGTGAATATATCAGCAGTGTTGGCCCGAGTAGCCACGTGAGCAAGGCGAAGCTGACCACGCTGCTGCAACTTTCGAGCCAGGAAGTAACGCAGAGCGATGTGCTTCGCTCTGTGCTCCAGTCTGTGCTCCTGACACAAGGCAATGGCTGCCTTGTTGTCGACGTACAGAACTGGAGGAGAACGAGGCCTCTCTCCCAAGTCGGTCAGCAGGTAGGTGAGCCAGCGTAACTCCTGTGCAGCCATGGCTGTGGCGTAGATCTCAGCCTCACAACTGGAGCTGAGAACAGAAGACGAGCGCGTAGACCGCCAAGAAGCAGAGCCAGAGCCAAGACTGAAAGTGTAACCCTGTGACGACCGCTGCGTAGCCTGGTCGTCAACCCAAGAAGCGTCCGAGTGACCAGTGAGGACAACGTCGCCCCGTCCTCCAAGCACGAGCCCCATGCCCGATGTACTTCACAAGTAGCGCAGTACCCTCTTAGCAGCATCCATGTGCACCTTTCAGTGCCGACCAGGAGCCATGTAGCAAGCCAGAAGGCCAAGAGGGAACGCGAGGTCAGGACGAGTGCAGGTCATCAGGTACATGAGGTAGCCAACTAGCTCTGGGTAAGGACCACTCGGCTCTACGGACTCGTCCGAAGGTGGAGCTGAGAGCGAGTGACCTGTAGCCAGAGGAGTGGCCTGTGCCGAGGACCAGGTGAAGCCGAAGCGCTGAAGGACCTGCTACACCATGTGTGACTGAGTCAGTGTGATGGTGCGGCGTGCTCTGTCCCGGGTGATCTTCAAGCCAAGGTAACTGCGCAACTCACCCAGGTTTGTGCACGTGTGTCTCTTCTGCAGCTCCGACTTCACCAGGGCGAGAGCCTCAGTGTCAGCAGTGGCAAAGACCAAGTCGTCGACGTACACGAGGAAGTAGAACGGCGGCAGCGAAGTGTCGGTGCGCAGAAACAGCGACGGGTCAGCAGTCGAAGGAGCAAACCCAAGAGGCGCAAGTGTCGTCCTCAGTGTGTCGTGCCACTCACGTGGCGCCTGGCGGAGACCGTAGACCGGCCGCCGGAGGCTCCACTGGGTATCAGGAGGGAACGACCCAGTGAAGCCGGGTGGGCGGCGCAGCCAGATCTCCTCGTGCAGGCTGCCCTGTAAGAAAGCTGTGCTGAAGTCAAGAGAGTGAAGCTCGTAGTCACGCTGAGCGGCAACGTGCAGCAGCACCCGAAGAGTGGTCATGTTCGGGGTGGGGGAGAAAGTCTGGAAGAAGTCAACTCCCTCCCACTGACTGAAGCCTCGAGCAACGTAACGAGCCTTGAAGACAGGCGGAGAACCTGGCGGCCGCTTCACCCTGAAAATCCACATGCCGTCGACGATGTTCGCCCCAGGAGGGGGAACCTCGTCGACGTAGGTGCCTGTGGACTTCCAGGATGCCATCTCTGCGTCCATGGCTGTCAGCCACTGAGAGGAGTACTCACCCGCGATCGCCTCAGCGTAAGAGCGCGGGGTCGGGATGTCTGGAGCATCCGGGTCTCCCTCAGGGGCAAGCAGCATGGCCACGAGATGAGGCGCAGCGGCCGCAAGACACCGAAGGTCCTCCTGTCTGTCCTCAGCGACGTCCGTGCTAAGAGCACACTCACCCCCGATGGACGGAGGACAGACAGACTCAGACTCAGCAACAAGACTAGCAGCGTAGTCTAGACGACAGGCATTAGCAAAGTCAAACAGCTCAGCGACAAAGGCAGACGCAGCAGCAGACTCAAACGACGGGTCAGTGACAACAGTGGCTAGCAGACGTGTGACAGTAGGGTGCTCAGCACGAAGCCGGTCAGACTCAGGGTCCGCAACGACAGGTAGAGAAGACGCAGGAGGAGACTGCAGAGGAACACGCTGCGGAGGAGAGGAAGGACGACGGACTACGAGGTGGGTGCCGGGGACAGCCGGCTGACGCGGATGAGGAACACTACGACTAGAACTACCAGAACGGATAGACAAGACAGGACGCGACGCAGGCTCACGACGCTCAGTAAGACCCCCTGTCTGCTCAGTGTAAGGAGAAGGAGCAGGCAGCGGTGAGCTAGGCTGTAACGGAAGACCAGTAGACGAAGGAAGACCTGGCGAAGCACAGAGTCAGGCGGTGGCTGAGACGTCGGAGACGGTGGAGCGAAGAACAGGCGCGGCTGCGCAGTGCCACCAGCACCAGCAGCTCCAGTACCCTCAGCGCCAGCTCCTCCAGGACCAGCTCCACCAGCAGCAGCACCCCCAGAACCGGCACCTCCAGTCCCAGGGTCTCCAGCCTCAGTGTCTCCAGCAGCAGCACCCCCAGACCCAGGGTCTCCAGCAGTAGCACCCTTAGGCTCAGCACCTCCAGCCCCAGCAGCTCCAGTACCTCCAGTACGAGCACCTTCGGGTCTAGCACCACCCCCAGCTCCAGTGACGTCAGCAAAAGTACCTCCAGCGGCAGAGCCCCGAGCTCCAGAAGTGCGACCCTGACGGCGACCGTACCAGTCGTGCAGCTGCTGTGAGGCGAGAGGCTTACGCGGACGAAGGCGGCTACTCCGAGGAGACCGCGCAACAACAGACTCAGAACCCTCAGGCGTCGCACCCCCAGACTCAGTACCCCCAGGCTCCTCACGCTCGGGCTCAGCACCCCCAGACACAGCACCCTCAGGCTCAGGACCTCCAGGCTCCTCATGCTCGGGCTCAGCGCCCCCAGACTCCGCACCCCCAGGCTCAGCACCTCCTGGGTCCTCACGCGCAGGCTCCGCACCCCCAGGCTCAGCATCCCGAAGCTCCGCACCCCCAAAGACAGCACCACCCCCAGAAGGACCGGAGTCACCAGTGACCTCAACAGGCGCAGGCAAGGGAGGGTCTACCTGAGAAACACCTGAAGGAGCAGGACCTGGCGCGGGGAGGGGGTCTACCTGGGGAGGACCTGGGGCGAGAAAGAGCGGCGGGGGGGGGGCGAGGGGCAGTGCGGTAGGGAAAGAAACGGTAAAAGGGGACGGACTCGTCAAAGGTGACGTCCTGAGACGGAAAGACGCGGCGCGAGGCGGGGTCGTAAAACTGCCCGCCAAGCGTGTCAGGGACAAAGCCAAGGAAGACACAGGGAACGGCGCGAGCGGAGAGCTTGTCCGCGGTGGTATCGCGGACAAAGG